CCAAATTTGGGGGCGGGGGCTTTCCTCCCCCCCCCCCCTTCTGTTGCGCCCCCCCTGGAGTGGCAGTGTGTAGAAAGCAGCAATGATTAGTTTCCTCCTTGCTTAAGGAAGTCATCAGATAGCTTGAAGACTTTAATATGTATTGAGATAATTGAGAGTAGACTTTTGTGTAGCATTATATTTAATTACTACCGGCTTCAGGTGTTGATAATCATGTTTTTGTATTGACTGAGTGATTGTTTTCAAGTATTGCTGTTGATTTATATCGAATAAGGGTTATAACAGTGAATTTGATGGGGTGTATATGTGGATGCCGTTGAAGGGATTACTCATGTAGCCGAGTTTTATGAAATAATGGACATTGCAATGTATTATTTTACTATAGAAATGTAATGTATTTAATTACATGATAATGCAACTTATTTAGTGCATTATAATGAATTGGAAGCTTCTTATTCGGCACTTGCTACATAAGATCTATAAAATCCTATTAAATCGATATCCCAATTACTATAATTGTATCTCTGTGGTTCTGCACATCTACCCCCTTAACTTTCATCAACCTTCTTATATATATATATCCCATAACGTATCATCTTGATCATACCGATAAGAATTTAAAGCAAAAGAAAATTGATGAATAGCTAAGTATATTATTATTACAAGGTAACGCGACGTTAGCGTCGCTAACCCTCTACAGAAAGGATTTAGTCATGTGGAACGTAGCTATCCAAAACTATCTAGCTGAGAGACTTCACATTTTATCGCTCCGAAATGATTTTCATGGAAAACACGATTGATAACCGAGCATAAATAGAAAACTTGCTTGGCAATACCACCAAGAAAACGACATTTAATTACTGCTTACTAATACTTTATGGCGATAGTGAATTTAACTGCATCTGATCTGCTACAGCTCAAGCTATGCTCCCAAAAACTTTCGATCAGCTTGATAACGGAGTGAAGAAAAAGACGCATTCAGGAGAGTTATGATCGAAATACCCCATTTTAGTAACGTTACAACTCAAATTGGTCTATGAATTAGATATTTAACATGAATGTGCACGAGTAGATCAGAGATTAAATCAAACTGACTTTTTTAAACTCGATTTCGGTTAGATTTGTCCTCATTTTTGCTCAACCTCATGTGGGCTCATTTTGTTGACGTGCGTTTCCCGTCTAGAATGCATATATCCATTCCCGGATGCACCTTCACATATAGATAAATCTAAGATTTACATCTTTTGAATCGAATCTACCAAGGGGGAAAAGGCAGACTTTTGTACTTCAAATACTTTACGCTCATTTTGAGCTACTTTACCCAAACTTTCAAGTACTTTAAGCCACTGTGTACTACTTTAAGTACTTTCAATACTTTGATGTAGTTAGGAGTCAGCCCAAGTAATCTGTGGCCTAACCAACCCAAAAGAGATACTTAAATCAAGCTCATTTTGTGACATGTTATAGAGGCAAGAGTCAAAAGAATATCTGTGAAAGATGTTTCAAAAAATATTCAACTGTTCAGTTTTTATGAAGTTTTTCTGAAAAGCTCTAAAAATGCTACTGTCTCCGACCAGAGAACGAATGTGACCATATTTCGAGAACTCCTCTATGAATTAAGCCGAAATTTTGATACAAGCACTACCAGAATGAGTTCTACCAGTGATAACCATTGTCCCAAATATACAACTACAAGCACGGCGCAAAGGAATGTGCGTGTGCTCGGGAGGCGAGGAGAAAGCGGAATGAGCACCTGACATCCCACTAGTAGCGCATAGTAAAAAAAACACGACTTGAGCAGGGGCGTCGAGAAGCTGACAACTCTTTGACCACGGCTCAAACACAGACAACATAGCTCTCAATTGCCAATGAGTCTGGTTGTCTTTAGATCGACTGTTATACTGATGAAATCAAACTGCTTCGTTTGAGAGAATTAGATGGTTTCTTTAACCGATCGCGGGTTTCATACTAATTTCGACGACTTCTTGAATGCTACTAAGCACCGAAGTATATATTTTTCACATCAGAACTTGATTTCGAAGGTGTTCTCCAAAGCCCTATGAGTCGTTCGGAGTATCATGTTTTGAATCATAACCACGCGTTACATGCTCTCATGTCTTTTTATTCATTAAAGTATTATAGATTTATTTTTGAAAACGTTTCTATTATTAGTGCAGAATACATGATCAATCACGAAGCTTTTTACTAGTTTTATTTTTCATGTCATCTCCAAGTAAGATTTTTATTGCCTGCAATACAGTTTTCTGTTCTCCGCACAAATTCTCCAAATAAATCGTATATTGTTCTTTACATTGATCGGGTTCAATTTTTGTCACTTTGAAATATGTTCGTGGACCAACTAATATTTCTTGTTCATTTTTGAAAAACGATATACATGGTAGTTTGTATTCAGGAATTTCGCTTAAATTAATTGCTGTATCACATGGTTGAGGAAAATGGTATATGAATATGGTTCTTATTTTATCTGATGATGATGATGAAGGCTTGTCAGCAAAATCCTCAGCTACATCTCGAACCATGGAGGTCGATGCAAACGTAAGTGGTGATAAAATACTATCTTTATTTTTCAATGCCCAGCGATATTCATTTAATTTATCTCGAGTCAATCGAGTACCACGATAGGAGTATCCTTGATAATAGCGTTGTTTTAAATCCGCAAGATGAAAAAAAAAAGGAAATCCCAGTGTATTTGAAAGCATCGATGATTGACGATAAAATGGTGTATCCATTGTGTAGAGTGTAAACAGAGATTCAATTGTACCTTGTTGAATATATTCTTTGAGTAGTTCACAGCATTGTTGATAGTCAGGATGATTTATAGGCACGTGTTCATCCAATACTTTTTTCAAAGCGTCGTGTCTATATTTTTTACTCGTAACATATTTATATTCTTCATCGCTATAACCAGCACCTTTACAAAGTTTTAATTTCATACCATTTTTCATTATGGATCTTCCCACTGGTGATTGAAATAATGCTTTAACTCCACTAAGCCCATCTAAACACATTTGCATTTCATTCTTCTCGTAACTGATAAAATATCGTTCATCCGGTTTTTTAGCATTATCGTCATCGTCACTACCGTCCGTTTCAGTTTTATTTGTTGCTAATGAAATTATTTCAAATGCTTCTTTGATGACCATAGAATCGTCATTAAATCGGTTTTCACCTGACGGTCGATGGTAGAGTTGTCGCATTTCATCGGTTTCTGCTTCTTCATATGCCGTAAAACCGTGTCGATTTCGAAGGTGTCGTTGAGAACCATATTCATGTAGAAGTAGACGAACAATATCTAGATGACCAAAATAGGTTGCAGCATGAAGAGCAGTACTACCATTAGGTTCCAATTGATTCAATTGATGGTACGGAATAATAGGCAACATTTGTTTGACTTTATCAATATCTCCATTTCTACATGCAAAGTAAAATTCACTTGCTTCACCTTTATGTGGATCTTCAAGTATTCTTTGTTGACCATTATGTTTTTTTTTGAACCAGGATTTAACTTTCGCTTCCATTTTTTATCCAATTGAATGTGGCAAGTATGATTGTTCTAGTCAAAGACAGAAAATAGAACATCAAAGGAAAATAATAAAAATACGATAGTAATTTCTGTATTGATTAATGGAAGGAAAAGCGAACTGGAGGGTGTGGGTGTGGTTGCAGGTGTTTGAATCAATATTGAACCAGTAACACACCCGTGCAACTTCAGCTCTTCTCGTCTCCGCCCTTGTATATATTTTACAGACTCCAGCCCCGTTATCAGCTTCGGATCAAAACCGTTGCTCCAACCTGCTGCGACGCTATTATCTCAACAAAATTTCACAATGAACAATATCAAATGCTAATGCAATCAACGCTGTCCTGGAGCAGTCAGTAGCTCTCAATTACCATATATGCTTCTTTTAGGTATATGTGAATAAATGCCTTGTATTTCATGTAAATAGAGAATAATATGATATTCAGGATGGAGAACCGGAGCCCATCGTGATACACGGACGCCGCTCTCAGATAAGGACCGACCAGCCCACGAAGCCACTCATCTCCAAATAGCATCGCGAAGTGCTATTTTATTGTAACGTCTTGAAGAAATTGCCTTTCTGTTCGGTCTCGATTCACTGACAGTGAACTGATCTTCCCTAGTATTGGAACAACTAGCTACAGTAGTTTTCACTGTTCAAGATTTGTGAAGCATACGTATGTCAAAAGAGAGGACACGATATTCAATTCGTGAAGTTGAATTGTGCAATAGGGTTTTAAAGAATAGGAGTTACCTTTGTATTATCGGTTCTCCCGCATGCTGCGGTTTTCCTTGTCCGTTAGCAAGAACAATTATACCATAGAATTCCGTATCACACTTTTCACTAGGACAGCGATCCATAGTACGAGCAAATATCAGATGAAGAGTATATACTATAAACAATGTAGCGATAGAAGTATTTACCGTTGGTTAATGTCGAAGGACAATCGGAGTCAAAGAAGAATCGCTAAATGCACTGGTTGCGAATCTAAATGAAAGTAAAAAACTGAATAAGAATGTGAGGAGCACTCTTTTTTATCTCTACTCTACTGCAGTGATCAGTCAAGCATGATCAAGAGAGAAAGGTGCCCATGTCGCCGCTCTTTCATTTTACCGAAAAAATAAGCATGCAATCAGATATGATTGCCTACCACTGCCCGATTTCTTGCTTCTTTTACCTACGGAACATTGTGCTGTAATTAATGGTTGAAAACAAGAGCAAGAAAAATACGCAAGTCGATGCTGTTTTGCTTTGACAACAAATAAGCATGCAATCATATATGATTGGCTGTGAGTGTGAGTGTGAGGGCATGATTAGTGACCATTGTCTTGACTCACACATCAATTTACCTAATTTTAATTTAATCTAGCTTTGAATTATTCAATGTTCAAAAGATAAGAGAATGAATCGTCGACATACCGAGCAGTCGTTGGTTAGACCATAAAATAAACGATGAAAATTCCTATTGATAAAATCTTCTGATTAGCGTTGATCTGTTGTGCGATAAAAAGCATATAACAATAGAAATCTATGAATAAGAATATATACGATTCTTGTTGACGATGAAAAAAAAATATTGAACAAAACGTCGTACCCACTTCATAGAAAAATACCTAGAATACAGTTGAAGGAATTACATTCAAGTTTGTTTTTAGAGTATGGTCAGAAATGAATACTCGATAAAACAATCTTATTTCATGCTTTCACATAGCAAATTCAATCAAATAGATTGACTCTGTATGCATTCGTGCTGTTTTTTGGCTCCCAGAAAATAGAGCATAAACCTCGAATACTGTTTGCAGACGAAACAATTCTCCAATCAAAGGATATTTCACGAGAAATCTCTGAAATAAAAGTTAGCTTGCTGAAATTACAATTCTAATTAGTCTGCTAATCATGTGTTACTATCTGATATGTGGTTTTTGACATTTTCCTATGCATTCGATTCAATCTTATTGATACAACACCCATGTAAACACGAAACGCAAAATCGACACGTTGAGACGCAATTAAAATTTTTTTGGAACGTATCTGAACGCGTTTTCGAAATAATATAACACGCGTTTGAGCGCACTTTTGTTAAACATCGAGTTGGCACACTAATCGACGATCTTGCCCTATTCTTTCCAGGTTCTTGTTTTTCTTTACTTTCAGACAAGATTCCTGTATTCAGACAAGATTCTTTTCGACAGGAAAGTAAAAAGAATCTTGTCTGGATTTCAAGATGACAAGAATCTCGTCTGATTAATCAGAAATAAAAGAATCAAGCAAGAATCATAAGATATTCAAGATATATTTAACGTTCAGGCAAGAATCTTTTTTTTTCCTTTTAAAAAGAACCTTGTCTGAGGTTCAAGATCAAAAGAATCTTGTCTGAAAATTATGAAAAAGCAGACACTGGAAAGAAATACAAGATATTTTAAATTTCTTACTGTTCAGACAAGATTCTTATGATAGGAAAGAAAAATATTCTTGTTAGCTTTCCAAGATCAACGGCACGTGATGTCGTCTTTGTGTGATCAAGTATATAAAGCAATGTTTGAGCGTTATTTATTCATTATTAATTCGGTAGCTAGTACAATTTCACTTTTAATATGTACTTTTCCTAAAACGTTTGATTCGTTCAAACAACATCTAACAACTCTATTTCAATTAGATGTAGAGAAAATGTTTCCATTCGATATAGAGAGAACAATGGAGTATGTAATAGCTTTTTTAAATTTTTCTCCGATAAATTACACTTATCGGATACATTTCAATATTTTACTAATCCATATCTTTCTACTTATTTTATTTTTTTAGATTTTCTTTCATTATGTACAAAAGTATTTTTTTAATGGACGATGGAAATCCCACATACACATGACAATGCTGAAGTTCCAAAAAAATAAATATTTTTTTTTTTTGATAATGAAAATTTTCTGTTGTTTCTTGTGTCAAAAACTGTGAAATTAAAAGTATTTTTTTGTTTTTTTGCATTTTTTTGTACATGGTGTGCAAAGCTCATAATAAAATGGTATGAAACAGACAGTAATAATAATCTATACAAGGCTTTTTTAATATGACAAGATTCAGGCAAGAAACACAAGAAATAGGAAACAGACAAGAATCTGAGGAAAAAAGAATCAGACAAGAATATCAAGAAAAATAAGAACCAGACAAGAATGCAAGAAAAGCAAGAATCAGGCAAGAAAGCAAGAATACAAGAATCTTGTCTGGAGAAGAACTTCTTGCCTC